GTTTTTGGTTAAAAAATTATTTTGCCAGTAAGAAAGTAGTTTTCAATAAATTGAGTAAAAGATGTCTGTTGAGTCATTTTTATTGAAATGGGTAAGATAAGATTTATATTTTAATTTTTATATATATATATATATATTTTTTTCCTGCAGTTGCTATCCACATCAGACACCCCAGAAGATGAAAATCCAGAGTCGTCAAGTAAGTACAGTAGACAATAATGAATGCATTTAAACAGAGTCATTTGGTACTGTTAAGATTGAAAGTTGGCTGGGCATGGTGGCTCACGTTTATAATCCCAGCACTTTTGGAGGCTGAGGCGGGTGGATCGCGAGGTCAGGAGTTTGAGACCAGCCTGGCCAACATGGTGAAACCCTGTCTCTACTAAATACACAAATATTAGCTGGTTGTGGTGGCAGGCACCTGTAATCCCAGCTACTTGGGAGGCTGAGGCAAGAAAATCACTTGAACCCGGAAGGCAGAGGTTAGAGTGAGCTGAGATCATGCCATTGTACTCTAGCCCAGGCGACAGTGTGACACTATCTCAAAAAAAAAAAAAAAAAAAGAAAGATGATTGAAAGTTGATAATCGTAATGTACCTTCATATTGATTTATAATTTACAATGAATGCATTTTCAAATATACTGTGTTGGTATTTCCCAAACTTCAGTGCCTATCAGAGTTGTCTGGAGAACTTAAAAAATAAGACAGATTTCCAGTTTCTACTTTAGACCTACTGAATTAAATCTGAGTGTTTAAGGGTGGGACTCAGACATGTATAGTTTTAACAGACTACATACATCCAACCTAACCTTTGTCTTGGGCCAGTGTGGGAACAGATGTACTATGACGTTCGATTGCTCACATATTCTTTCTGTGAAAGGGAAAGGATAGAACATGTTAGTCTTCTTCTTCAACAGGTACCCTGAATGACTTGTTCTTCACCTTAAACCTAAATGTGATAGAGCTAATATTTGTACAGGCTCTTTGATTCCATTATCTCATGTTCAATTCAGTAAATATTTATTGCGTACCTCCTATTCTGAGGTAAGAATAGAGAACAGGATAAACATAACTCCTGGTCACATGTATCTACAGGATACAGACAAATACACAGACAGGAGAAAGGGATATGGCAGTGAAAGTAAAGTATGATATGAGAGTGCATGTGGGGCAATTAACCCAGACTTTGGAGGGCCAGAAAAGGATTTCCAGAGGATGTATTTGTCTTAGCAGAGAATCCAAGGGAAGAGTAGGAGTTAACCAAGCGACAAATGGAAGAAGTGTATTCCAGGCAGAGATAACAGCATATGAAAGACCAAAGTGACAAAGAATAGAGACCTTTGAAGAACTGAACAGAATTCTATATAATCCGAAGTAGGAGTTGCTAATAGATAAATGAGTGAAGCAGGCCAGTGGTACGAGTGGTCAGCACTACAGGCAGAATTTGACACCAGAGCCATCAGTTTGTGACTTCTGGGCTAGAGTGCAGGATACAAATGACTCAGTGGCAAGGGATGAAGCTGAAGAGGTAAACAGGGTTGAGATTGTATGAGACTTTGTAAGCCAATTATATTTTGGATTTTATCCTAAGATAAAATGGAATTGTTGGTAGAATTTAAGAAGTGTGACACAAACAGCTTTGTGTTTTTAAAAAGTCAATCTGATTGTACTGTTGAGAATGAACTGCAAGGAAGCAATATTCTATGATAATAACCTCTCTGAAAATATGTGAAATGTTCTTGATTTAGAAAGCTCATTTGTTCATTCAACATAGGGAAAAAGAATCTGAATTCTGGTGGGAGGTAATCCCTGCCACCTCTGTTTCACAAAGCTGATTGTGTCACACTTCTGTTCACATATGTATATCCAGTTATGACAGGTAATATGTATTTTGCATCTAAGTACAATATTCCATGTTATTATTTTGATGACTGAACATATATATAATTTTAAATTTAACAGTGTTCATACAAAATGATGCCTACACATTTTGTTGGTTTTATGTTTTTAATATTGTAAAAACTTTCAATTTTGATTTCAATGCAAATTTCAATTTTTCAGAAATATACAGGTTTGTTAAATTTGTTAAATTATTTTTTCCTTATAGTTATGCGTTTCGAACCTGGAGAAGATCATGCAGAAGATGCAATCATGATGAATACTCCTGTGGTTAAAGCTGCCCTGGAAATGGGCTTTAGTAGAAGCCTGGTAAAACAGACAGTTCAGAGAAAAATCCTAGCAACTGGAGAGAATTATAGACTCGTCAGTGATCTTGTGTTAGACCTACTCAATGCAGAAGATGAAATAAGGGAAGAAGAGAAAGAAAGAGCAACTGAGGAAAGAGAATCAAGTATGTAGATTTATTAATACAGTCTCTATTTTCATAAGGATTTGTTACTACTCTATCTGTTATGGAAAGTATACTCATCTAGTATATATACTAAAAATGTACTCAATCCAGTCAGATTTTTTTCATGTTTAGTATTCTGAATTCAAACACCGAAAAATTTCTTTATATTCAAATATATTTGAGTTGCTCATAAATTGAAAATGTATGATGTGCAAAAGTATTATTTTCTGTTTTCCATATTTTTTTCTCTGGATAGTTGGCTTTGTGTGCAATTATGCATTCATGGCACATTTTTTTTTTTCTTAAGACCTTGAAAATGGAATTCTTGTTGCATCTTGGCACATTTTCAATCCTAGGCCAGTTGTTCACTTCCCTTTGGAGTAAATCAGGGTGGGATCAGGGATAATTATTAGATTTATTCTGAGACAGTCTCACTCTGTCACTTAGACTGGAGTGCAGTGGCATGATCTTGATTCACTGCAACTTCTGCCTCCTGCGTTCAAGCTATTTTCCTGCCTCAGCCTCCTGAGTAGCTAGGACTACAGGCTCACGCCACCACGCCGAGATAATTTTTGTATTTTCAGAAGAGACAGGGTTTCACCATGTTGGCCAGGCTGGTCCCAAACTCCTGACCTCAAGTGATCCTCCCGCTTTGGCCTCCCAAAGTGCTGGGATTACAGGTGTGAGCAACTATGTCCAGCCTATAACATTTCTTTAAAATTCCATTTTAAGTTGAAATTTTAATTATTTTCCCCAGTTATACTGATTGCCTTTTCCTAAATATTTTACAGTAAGCAGGGAAAGGCAGTAACAGCATTTTGAATAATAAACCCTATTTTTCAGTAAACTACCGTCTTGTCCTACAAGATCATCTTATTCTCCTTCAAGATCTAGATTTTTTTATCCACTGGTAAAACATTTTATATTTTAAAACTGCAATTTTATTATCTCTTTGGAATATAACTTATGAATCTAAGTTTATTAATTGTCATATAGCTTACCATAATTCATAAAGCTATTTCTGTAAAATAACTAATGATAGAGGCTGACCTATCTGAAGAACTGTTTTGGTAGAGACGATTGTTAGGTTTTAGATACACTGACTTTGTCAAGTAATAGGATGCATAAAAAGAACCATTTAAGGCTGGCGCAGTGGCTCAAGCTGGTAACCCCAGCACTTTGGGAGGCTGAGGCAGGCACATCACAAGGTCAGGAGGTTGAGACCAGCCTGGCCAACATAGTGAAACCCCATCTCTACTAAAAATACAAAAAATTAGCTGGGTGTAGTGGCAGGTGCCTGTAATCCCAGTTACTCGGGAGGCTGAGGCACGAGAATAGCTTGAACCCTGGAGACAGAGGTTGCCGTGAGCTGAGATCATGCCACTGCACTCCACTGCGCTCCAGCCTGGATGACAGGACAAGACGCTGATTTAAAAATAAATAAATAAATAATAATAAAAGAAATTTTGTGGAAGAATGATACTTTAAGAAAAAATTATTTAATGTTCTTTATTTTCTCTTTCCTTAATTTGACTAGATCAAATTGAAATGTCAATTTTAATGGGCTCTAAGTTTCATTTGGTTAAAGACTTAACAGTACTACAAAATGATTGAAAGTACAGTACATGACACCAGACTACCCAGTTTGATTTTTGCTAGTTGTGTGTACTTTGGCAACTTACTTGCCTCACTGTGGCTTCATTTTCTCATCTTTTAAATGAGGCTATTAGGACCTACCTTAAAGAGCTGTTGTGAAGATGAAATGAATCAATACATGTAAAGTTCTTTTTTTTTTGAGACAGAGTCTCACTCTGTCGCCAGGCTCCAGGCTGGAGTGCAGTGGCACAATCTCAGCTCACTGCAACATTTGCCTCCTGAGTAGCTGGGACTATAGGCATGTGACCACCACACCCAGCTAATTTTTGTATTTTTAGTAGAGATGGGGTTTCACCATGTTGGCCAGGATGGTCTCGATCTCTTGACCTTGTGATCCACCTGCCTCGGCCTCCCAAAGTGCTGGGATTACAGGCTTGAGCCACTGCACCCGGCACATGTAAAGTTCTTAACACAGGGCTCACTAAATGTTAGTCTTTACTATAATTAGCATTATTATCATTATTTTTTTTGAGACAGGGTATTGCTATGTTGCCTAGTCTGGTCTCTAACCTCAGGGCTTGAGTGATCCTCCTACTTCAGGCTCCTGATTAGCTGGTGTTACAGGCATGTGCCACTGCACCCTGCATTATAATTATAACAACATTTATTATTAAGCACAGGAGATGAGACACACCTAAACCTAGCAATTAACATCAATGCCTTATTGATTATGAATTAAAGATAGTTTTTATTTTGTTGTATGTATAGGACTGGAAGGAAGTTTGTGAGCAGAGTTTGAACATGTTTATCCTTGTTTTTGTTTTTACAAAGATGATTTATTATTAATCCGGAAGAATAGAATGGCACTTTTTCAACATTTGACTTGTGTGATTCCAATCCTGGATAGTCTACTAACTGCCAGAATTATTAATCAGCAAGAACATGATGTTATTAAACGGAAGACACAGACATCTTTACAAGCAAGAGAACTGATTGATACTATTTTAGTAAAAGGAAATTTTGCAGCCACTGTATTCAGAAACTCTCTGCAAGAAGCTGACGCTGTGTTATATGAGCATTTATTTGGTGAGTGGTAGAAAACTATTTTTTAAAATTTTCTAAGTCAATTAAAAATATGCTCTTATTTGTAATTTATGATTATTGAAAATTATTCAGGCTGAATGTGGTCACTCATGCCTGTAATCCTAACACCTTGGGAGGCTGAGGCAGGTGGATACCTTGAGCCCAGGAGTTTCAGACCAGACTGGACAACATGGCGAGACCCCGTCACTATAAAAATTTTTTTTTTTTTTTTTTTTTTGAGACGGAGTTTCGCTCTTGTTGCCCAGGCTGGAGTGCAATGGCGCGATCTCGGCTCACCGCAACCTCCGCCTCCTGGGTTCAGGCAATTCTCCTGCCTCAGCCTCCTGAGTAGCTGGGATTACAGGCACGCGCCACCATGCCCAGCTAATTTTTTGTATTTTTAGTAGAGACGGGGTTTCACCATGTTGACCAGGATGGTCTCGATCTCTTGACCTCGTGATCCACCTGCCTCGGCCTCCCAAAGTGCTGGGATTACAGGCGTGAGCCACCGCGCCCGGCTAAAAATTTTTTAAAAAATTAGCTGTGATGGTGTATGCCTGGTAATCTCAGCTACTCAGGAGAATAAGGTGGGAGGATGGCTTGAGCCTGAGAGGTAGAGGCTGTCATGAGCTGTGATTGTGCTACTGCACTCCAGCCTGGGGGCATAGCCGAGACCCTGTTTCAAAAAAAAAAATTCAATCTAATTTATAGATATTAATTGCATAAAAAAATTAAAGATTTTTGTTGTCTTGACATGAGTATTTGGCCCAAGTCTAAACTGCTCATTTTTAAAATATATTCTGTAGCTCAATATTAACCTTATTTGTCAGTAGTAATGCTTTTTCTTTTCCTCCCTTAGTGCAACAGGATATAGAGTATATTCCCACAGAAGATATTTCAGGTATTAGTATTAATATTTTAAAGCAATAGAAAACATTGTTTGTATTTTCTTGGTTTTTCATTGAAGAAGTAAATTGCCTTTTATTAAAATTTTTTTCCTCTTTCTAGATCTATCAGTGGAAGAACAATTGCGGAAACTACAAGAAGAAAGAACATGTAAAGTGTGTATGGACAAAGAAGTGTCCATAGTGTTTATTCCTTGTGGTCATCTAGTAGTATGCAAAGATTGCGCTCCTTCTTTAAGAAAGTGTCCTATTTGCAGGAGTATAATCAAGGGTACAGTTCGTACATTTCTTTCATGAAGAACCAAAACTTTGTCTAAACTTTAGAATTAATTTATTAAATGTATTCTAACTTTAACTTTTATTCTGATTTGGTTTCCTTAACATTTTTATTTACAACTCAAAAATATTGTTTTGTGTAACATATTTATATAACTATATGTATCTAAACCATATGAACATACCTATTTTAGAAACCAAGAGAATGAGAGACTTTTGTTCTTATAAACAAAAAAGAGATAGCACTACGAACACAACATTCAATCAAAATGTCATCAGTATTGAAATTGTAAGTCAAGTAAAATTTAAGATATTTGAGTTTACCTTTCAGAATTTTAAATATTTTGGCATTATTAATACCGGGAACACAAAGCCAGGTGTGGTGGTGTGTGCCTGTAGTCCCAGGCTGAGGCAGGAGGATTACTTGAGCCCAGGAGTTTGACTCTAGCCTGGGCAACGTAGTGAGACCCTGCCTTTAAAAACAAACAGAACAAAAACACAATGGAAGGGACACATTTCTGTCCTTTTTGATCAGTGTCTTATACATCAAAGGTGTGCATATATGTTGAATGACATTTTAGGGACATAGTGTTTTTATAAAGAATTCTGTGAGAAAAAAATTTAATAAAGCAAAAAATATTACTCTTATTCTTCATGTCTTTATTTCTATGATATTGTATAGTTTAGTCACTCCCAGACACTTTCCACACCTCCTTAAAAAGCCTCTTAAATATTGAACTACAGTTTATATTCCTTCCTATAACATGCTTCTTCATTGACACTTGTAGAGCACAGGGTCAACACATCATAAAATTTATAAGATTTTATGGAATGCCTGAGACAAAAATTAAACAGTCCCTTTAGTAAGTTTGTTTATTCATTTGTCTATTGATTTATTCAAGAAGTCTCATGCTAGCCCCACCTACTGGGAGAAGGTCTGAGTTTTATTCTTACCTCTTTGGTATTAATTTTGATACTTAGAAAGTACACTGGTTAGCAACCCTTGGGACCAACAGGTTGTTCTGGTAAATAAATCTGTTTCATATTGTCATTGCAACAAAATGTCACCCTCTTCATTACGTTTTTGGTACTCAACATGTCCAATTCATAACTCTCTCTTTTGTTTCTTATAGAAGTATTAGGTCTTTAAGACCAGAAGTAAGACTGTAATAGGGAATACTTAGGGGAAGACAGGCAAAGGCCAGTCATCTAAACCGATTCTAGATGGCTGTATAGCGGCAGATGGCTCTGTAAGGGCAGAAGGGAGAGACCCCTTCATAAGGGTCACAGCTGACAATCCTATCACAAAAGACAGGTTAACAAGAGAAAAGCTTAACAAATTTAATCACAGTTTTACATAACCAGGAGCCTTCAGAATGAAGACCCAAAGATACTGTGGAAACTATGCATTTCTATGCATAGGTTTGATGAAGAATGGACTGCCCTGAAAAACAGTGATTGGAAGAAAAAGGTATGATCTAATGGGAATAGACTCATGTGGGGGACCCAGCGAGGCCTGTCTGTTCAGAATCTTGTTGGTCTCTACGCAGCATTTTTTCCTCATGGGTATAGGGCAGGACCTGTCTGGAATGGGATCTTATAACCTACTATCAAAGAAGGTAGGTCAGAAAATTTATTTTTGCCCAGCTCTTACGTAACGAGGTGAGGAAAGATTAGAGTACTATCTTTATGTTTTAAGGCTGGCATTATGGAAAGGTGGTTCTGGTTTTTATGACCTAACTTGGGGAAGAGGAATTGAGGTTTCTATGGCTTGCTTTTGTGGAGAATGAGGTTGAGACAGGATGGCAGGACAATGTCAGAGGACAGCTTTGCTTCTGAGGCCTTCACTTTGGGTTTTCTGAGCCCCAACATCTGCTAGAGTTGTAAAGAGAAAAATTAGGGACCAAGCCAGGGGAGGAAGGAATCCATCTCTTCATTCTGATGCTGGAAGACTATTTCCTTGAGATGCAATTGATTTTGCCGCTGCTAAAAGGCTCTGCTGGCGAGCCACATGCTAGCCAGTGTCCTGCATAGGTGCTAGGCTGAATTATTTGTAATTGTGCTTAGGTGATTTGTAACTCAGCTATAGGATATTGAAATAGTAGGTACCCTTTTTGCAACACTTTTTAAAATCTAGTTCTTGTATTCTACAGACAATATTTGAACTTACCTTGTCATATCACTGTGAAACTCTTGTTCATTTCTCATTTTGATAATAAATAGCTATTATAACCAACCCATTTTTTCAAATATGTTATTTCCCTAAGTGTTATTTTGAAATTTTGTTTTGGAAAAAATAAATCACCATAGATAATAACAGTAGCTCCATTTGCTCACGAAATGTCAGATGTTTTCAGGTGCTTGACATGCATTAATCCATTTGATTACCTTCAACCCCACCCACAAGCTAACCTGTTCTTCAGTCATTGGGTAGATGATTTAAACCTCAATATATAGTAAGTGCAATCATACAGGACTTTGCAGCAGGTTTAATTTCATACTTCAGCCATGCTCATTATAGTTTCCATCCATCCTGTCTCTGAATTTTCTTATATTGCTTGATACTATTAGCCATTAAGTTCCTTTGTGGTCACAGGCAATGTGATTTAACCATCTTCAGCTTCTGTTGGTGAAGATGTCACCTCCTTTTGGTGTCTTGCACATCATAGTAGACACTATGGGTGTTACTAAGAAAATTCCAGAACAGATGCAGTGGTTCGCACCTGTATCCCAGCACTTGGGGAGGCCAAGGCAGGTGGATCGTTTGAGTCCTGGTGTTCGAGACCAGTCTGGGCAACATAGTAAGACCATGTCTTAATAACTAAATAAAAAGAAATTTCCAGACAAAACAGAAGCGATGTTTAAGAGATTCACTATTTTAAAAGCAATACAAGTATCCTTGAAACAAAAAGGATCAATGGATCAGTATTACTCAATCTTTTAAAAACTATGCCCACTCCTACAACTTGAGTCAAGAAGATTTAGGCAAGGTCTCATTTGCAGAGTTTGTACTGTACAAATAACAGGTATTTTTTCAAGTTGTACAGTATCCCTGCTCCTCCTCAGGTCAGCATGGCCCTTTATAGTCTTCAACTTCATTTTCTGCCACCCTACCCATTGCTCAGTATTTCCCGGCCACCTTGGTTTTCATCAGTTTCTAAATCCGACAAACTCTTTTTTGCTTCAGGTTCTTTGATTGGAATCTTTTTTCATTCACTCTTTCCCTGGCAAATTCCTACTCATTCTTCAGGTGTCAGCCTCCATGTTACTTTCTCAGAGTGTCTTTCTTTGACTTCTCCCATCTAAAGTATATTTCTTTGACAGTCTCTCTAGTAGGACCCTTTCTTCTTTTTCTTCATAACACTTAACCCAATTTATATTTACAGTTTTTAATGTCACAGTCTATTGCCAAAATTTCCATAAGGACAATAATCATGTGTTTTGTTCACCACTGTATGTGTAGTACTGAGCACAGGGCCAGACAGAACAGACCCTTATTGAGTAAATGAATGAATGAATGAATGAATGGCATCCTGAGAGTGAACACGGAATATAAGAGGGGATTTCTTCCTCTTTAAATACCACTGCTGATAAAGTACTAAGGCAGAATCATTGACAAAGTAGAAGTTCATGGGCCAAATTCTGCACTCCTTTAGATACCAAAAGGAATCTTTATAAAGGAAAGATCAAGCTAGTTAAAATGCATTCATGTAGGAGATGGGAATTGGAGCTGATTTCAGATGAGGTGGCATGGCATTTCAGCTCTGGAAAGAACATAAGGTACAGATATAGGCATTAGAGTCTTAACAACAATTAACTGACATTTATTTATTTTTGGTATTCTGTTTTGTTTTTGTTTTTGAGACAGAGACTAACTCTGTTGCCCAGGCTGGAGTGCAATGGCATGATCTCGGCTCACTGCAACCTCCTGTTCCCAGGCTCAAGCAATTCTCATGCCTCAGCCTCCCAAGTATCTGGGATTACAGGTATGTGTCACCACACCTGGATAATTTTTGTATTTTTAGTAGACATGGGGTTTTGCCATGTTGGCTAGGCTGGTTTCAAACTCCTGGCCTCGTGATCCACACACGTCAGCCTCCCAAAGTGCTGGGATTACAGGCGTAAGCCACTGTGTACATTTGAACTCAAATGTACTAAGTGTCTATATGCATTATCTGATCTGAGACACTGTAATTTAGGAGATGCAGTAGCACAGGAATTGAAAGTTCAGACTGGATTCCAATCACAGCAGAGTAAGCTTGGGCAATTATTTAACATCTCTGTGCCTCTATGCACTTAATCCCTACATGATTGCCTTCTGGAAATCGGTAAGAAAGGCTTTTCCTGGAATACCATCGGCTTTTGGGGTCCTAGAATTCTTTTTTCCTTCCTTGACAGGAAATATGTATGGAAAGAACGGTCCTGTCTGCCTTGTATTTGTCAATATGATTTCTTGTGACTATTCTCTAAACGTGAGGTTTTTCTTTTGAGTTCGTTTTTGGGGCTGATTAAAGAAGAGATGTGACCACAAGGTGGCAGCAGCATGCAACAAGCTTTATTTGGGTGGTGCTTGACAGACTATACAAGTAAGGGAGATATCCCTCACAGCTGGAGACCTTCCGGAGGCAGAGATGTGTGGCAACCACCCGGAAGGGGAAGAAGGCAAGGGAACTACTCCTGGCGTAGAGGAGAAGCAGAAATGGGGCTTATCTGTCTAGGTGATGTTGTATAATTGCAAGATGGGGAGTCTGAGTCACAGAACTGCAGAGAAGGACAGCAGAAGTTTGGGGTCTTTTATAGTCCTAAACTTTGTCTTATCTTTGGTTAACAGATGCCACATACAGTTTATCTTTGGCTAGCAGGCAGACTCTAAATGGCTAAAAACATGGCCACCTGAGATACACACACACACACACACACACACACACGCACACACACACGCACACACACACACACATATGGCATATATGGCACAATCTCAGCTGACTGCAGCCTTTGCCTCGTGGGTTCAAGCAATTCTCCTGCCTCGGTCTCCCAAGTAGCTGGGACAACAGGCATGCACCACCATGCCCTGCTATTTTTTTTATTTTTTAGTAGAGACGGGGTTTTACCATGTTGGGCAGGCTGGTCTCAAATTCCTGAAATCGGGTGATCTGCTTGCCTTGGGTTTCCCAAATGCTGGGATTACAGGTGTGAGCTGGCCCATCTGAGCTATATTTAAGTGATTAAATGGATAAAATTTTGAGCTTAGAGAAGGTAAGCTTTTGAACTAATGGTCCCAGTCTGCTGTGAAGAAGCAAACAATCTGTGGCTAATATACCCAGGCCATCTTTAACATCTTTATTTCCCTAACTTTTCATTGATTTTTGCAACTAGAGTTGCTAAAATTCTAATTTACATTAAATGATTAAGGTTTAGTAATTAAGCCTTTAAATAATATTTCTGTAAATTTTTAAAACCTGACTTTTGATACAGATACCAACATTTTAAAGCTGTCATGGATTTTCAGATTATTATCTATAAAAATCTTTTCGGCAATTACCTCGGCTGAGTGCTCATATACAAAATAAACTGATTAAATCAAGTAGCAATTGGATCCTTTCTAGTTCCAAAATCCTAATGAAGGGTTTTATGAAATTAAAATACAAAGTCTTAGCACAGAAATATAAAGTGTTTTTTTTAACAGATGTAAAGGTCATGCTTGGGATGCCTGTAAGTGACTAAAAGTTGGAAAGGGAAGTTCTGATGTGACCACAATTTATAAGTTCTTAATGTCCTCTTTGAATTTTTTTTCTAATTCAAAAATTCAGGAACGTATGCATGTCATCTGTGTACATACTAACAAAGACTATCTCCTTGACCACTTTACTCAGGCTCTTCTGAGCCCTCTTCTTGATTAGGCCTTGACTTTGGGCCCAATCCCCACCCGACCTATAACTGTTGGCCTACCTCAGTCTTAACAAGAATCCTGTCAGTTTAGTGAGGATCCCTGCCACTCTGGATATCTGATCAACCTATATATCTGATCAAGTTCCTCATTCTCCACTTCTGAAGTACAACCCATTAGCCTACCTTCAGCAAGAATCCTACCACCCTTGATGTCTCATCTTAGTACTTTTCCATCCGCTGACCCTCCTTACTCTGGCTGTTGGTTATAAATACCCCAACTGTCTTTGCTGTATCCCCAACTGAACCTAATCTTGCTTGCCTATTACAATGTTTGATTGCATAGTCCTGAATAAAGTCTTCCTTACCATTTTAATGTCAGAATATTTTTTTCTTTAACAATACCACATAACTAATCCCAACATTCTTTTATACTCACCTAACTTTAAAAAATAAAAACATCACATATACAATCAATGAATAGGAAAAGTTTTTCAATCCCATTCGTAATACAACAATAAAAAATCTGAACTGAAATACTATTTATTGTTTAACAGGTTGGCAACAATCCAAAAGTCTGACAACTTACTCCACTGATGAAGCTGTGGGAAAAACAGGTACTCACATACATTGTTGGTTGGACTGCAAAATGCTACATACCCATGGGTGGGTATGTGGTCATCTCAGACAAAATTACATTTGGATTTACCATTTGAACTAACTTCTGGGAATATATCCTAAAATAAGATGTGTTCCCATGACTATTCATTACAGCACTACTTTTAATAGCAAAAGGCTGGAAACCACCCAGATGTCCATCCATAGGGAAGTAGCTGAATATATTATGGTACTAATTTTATATATGGCTGGGGAGTTTATTCAAGTTGGCTCCTTAGTCTCTGACATGGCCCTAGCAGTTTTTGGCTGCTTTCTGAATTACATTGTTTAAGTGGAATATATTATGGTCCATCTACACAATGGAATACTATATAGAAATGAGGAACATCTCAATATGCTAGTACTACATAATGTCTGGAATTTATTATAAAGTGAAAAAAGTGAAGAAAAGTATGCTATTATTTAAGAAAAGGGTAGGTATAAATATGCATAATTACATTTTTAAAATCAAAAAAATGAATCATATTTAAGTCATTACTTATGGGACAGGAAGGAAAAAGTAGAGAGGAGACCAAGGATTTTCAAAATAAAAGGAATTACAGATATACAATCAAAGAGGTTAAATAAAACCTTGACTTCCTGAATTTGAATTGGCAGTATCAATGAATTCATGATATATTTGATTTTAAAAACAAAATCCAAACCAAAACAAACCCATACTAACCAGCTCTGTCCATTGAATAGGTACAGAAACAACCAAACTCATTAACAATTAGCACGACAAACATTTTTTGTTTGTTGTTCCTTGCAGTTCTAGCTCAAAGGAGACAAACATTCAGATTATGCTCTTTAAATACCATTACCCCCTAAAAGATCCAGGGCAATTAGGAGTAATGCCTTATTACGGGTATGGAGTAAGAAATACTTAAAATGAGCCTGGAAAGCAAAGACTACTAGGAAAGTTATCAAAAAGACTCAGGAGCCAGCGTGAGTAAATTCCCACTGGCCTAAAATAAAACAACTTGAGCACCAATACTGATAATAACTGCAGTGGATTACAACTCACCAAACTTGTTTAAATCCCTAGATTCATGATGATGGCTGTTTAAGGATTTTTGTTGTATTTTTTAAAATCCAGCAGGGATTTTAAAATAGTATATGGTAGTGATCTAATTTTATTTCCCATTAGAATGGCTATTCATTCAGCATTACTTATTGACTAATTAATCCTTTTCTCATTAATACATAATACCAGTATATCAAATTCCCAAATACATAGATATGGGTCTCTTTTTGGGGCTCTGTTATCTCCTTCAATTGTCCATCCTATTGCATTTAATAATATATTAAATCACACCTGTAATCCCAGCACTTTGGGAGGCTGAGGCAGGCAGATCACAAGGTGAAGAGATCGAGACCATCCTGGCCAACATGGTGAAACCTCTTCTCTACTATAATACAAAAAAATTGGCCGGGCATGGTGGTGCACATCTGTAGTCTGAGCTACTTGGGAAGCTGAGGCAGGAGAATTGCTTTAACCCGGGTGGCGGAGGATGCTGTGAACCGAGATCCTGTCAATGCGCTACAGCCTGTGTGACAGAGCAAGACTTCATCTCAAAAAAAAAACAAACAAACAAACAAAAAATATAGTGCAGCAGACACTGTTCGTGCTGTCCCCATGGCCCTTGGCATTACCAGCCACATACATGCCAGGGGCTCATGCCTTCAAGAGCACCCTCAGTGTATTCATCATGTCTTTTCATTTCCTGTATTTCCTGATGTGTTGACAGCTGGGGCCTTGCTGTTCCTGGAGAGGCTGCTCCACCTAGGGCAAGCCAGTTCCTAGAGACAGTAAAGGGCTCACCTGCAAGTGCACCTTCCATCTGCAAACCAGCCAATCCAAAGCCCATACCCTCAACTACTTCCTTCATCGACAGTGGCAGAGGCCACTGTCCATCTGCCCTCACCACCCTAGGGCCATGAACCAGACAACTAGGGACAGCCCTATACCCCAGAGCTGAGTGAAATTACTCAAACTATTAATAGCTAATCCTGTGCCTGTTTACCCTGCCTTGCCTTGCCTTTCCCTTGGATGCCACAAATAAAGCTCTTGGCCATGTTTTCCCCTAGCTCCTTTGACTTCTTGACTGACCCTGGTACCTCTCCATGTATCCCTGCATAGAATGGATTGGCACTTGTTTCCAGAGACCTCCGAGTATCAAAAACTCCTTCCTTCAGGACAGTCATTTCCATATCTGTGTGTCTTAGTATATCTGATTAACGTAAATCTTGTGTCCATTTTAAAACAGCCATGAGGAATGACGGTGGATAAATACTGCAGCTCCCCCGCCCCTCAGCTGCAGTATCTTTGAAGGGCCTAGTGAGTTTGAGCCCCAGTTACCCTTTGTGGCAACCTGCTCATAAATGCACCATCTGTTGGCTTTCTTCCCTTCCCTATCTCACTTCCCACCCTCTTACCTGTGCTTCTTGAAAGCACCTTCTTAACAAATGCTTGTACCTGAATCCTTGACTCAGGCTCTGCTTCTAGTAGAACTTAAATGAAGATATTTTCAAAGAATAAGAATGGCATAGAGGTCAGTGGATAATGGAAGGTTGAAGATTTGTGTGCATGCTATTATGGTAAAGGAATTAGGACAGTGAAGTGTTCAGGGGATGCACAAATCAGCCACTGGAAGAGAAGAGGAACCCAGCAAAAGACCCATGACACTTGGAAATTTGAGACAGAAGTTGCCTTGTAGATTATTTGGGAAAGGATGAAATATTCTACAAATGGTGTTTGCACAATTGATTATCCATATGCAAAGCAAATATGGCTAGATCCCTAGTTCACATCATATCAAAAATAAAAGCCAGTTGATTAAAGATCTAGTTGTGAAAGGCAAAACTTTGAAAGTGGACTGGGCGCAGTGGCTCACGCCTGTAATCCCAGCACTTGGGGAGGCCGAGGTGGGCCGATCACGAGGTCAGGAGTTGAGACAGCCTGTCCAATATGGTGATACCCCACCTCTGCTAAAAGTACAAAAATTAGCCGGGCATGGTGGCTTGCACCTGTAGTCCCAGCTACTTGGGAGGGTGAGGAGGGAGAATCTCTTGAAGCTGGGAGCGGAGGTTGCAGTGACCCAAGATCATGCCACTGCACTGCATCCTGGGTTACAGAGCGAGACTCTGTCTCAAAAACAAACAAACAAACAAACAAACTTTGAAAGTATTTAGAAGGAAACGTAGGGGGATCATTAAGATTGGAGCAGTGTCTTAGTTTGGGCTGCTCTAACAAAATGTCATAGACTGAGTGGTTTAAACAACAAACACTGATTTTTCCTAGTTCTGGAGGCTAGATGTCCAAGATCAGGGTGTCAGCATGGTTGGCTCCTGTGGCGGGCCCACCTCCTGGTTCACAGAGGGCCATTTTCTTGTATCCTCACATGGCAGAGAGGAAGAAAGACAGGAAGCAATTGTTTTGTATCCCCCCGCTTGTTTTTTTCCAAGGTTTAGTCTCACTCTGCTGCCCAGGTTGGAGAGCAGTGTAGCGAACCCAGCTCACTGCAACCTCCACCTCCCAGGTTCAAGCAGTTCTCCTTCCTCAGCCTCCTGGGTAGTTGGGATTACAAGCACCTGCCACCACGCATAGCTTATTTTCGTATTTTAGTAGAGACGGGGTTTCACCATGTTGGCCAGATTGGTCTCGAATTCCTGATCTTGTGATCTGCCTGCCTCGGCCTCCCAAAGTGCTGGGATTACAGGCGTGAGCCACCTTGCCCAGCCTGATTCTTTTTATTTAAAAATTTACTTTAAGTTCCTGGATACAAGTATAGAATGTGTAGGTTGGTTACATGAGGAATATGTGTGCCATGGCGCTTTGCTGCACCTATCAACCCGCCATCTAGGTTTTAAGTCCTGCCTGCATTAGCTGTTTGGCCTAATGATTCTTGAAAAATTCTCTGAATACTGGCAGTTGGCTCAAGCCTACCAGATTTAGGTCCTGAGTGAGGCTGGAGGCAGGTCTGTACCTTTATTTTAAAATTTATTTATTTCATTTTTTAAAGTGATAGGGTCTTGTTCTGTCACCAAGGCTGGAGTGCAAGCTGCATGATCATAGCTCACTGCAGACTTGAACTGCTGGGCTCAAGTGAGCCTCCCGCTTCAGCTTTCAAAACATTGGGATTACAGGTGGGAGCCACTCTTCCTGGCCCTAGGCTTATATCTTTCATCCTGTGGACTGTGGACATCAGCCACTCACTGCTGGGTGCTGGGATGGGGTTTAATTTCCAGTGACTGGCCCAGAGCCTGCCCAAGGGAAGATCTCAAGGGAGGCTGTTGAAGGAACAAGCATGCAACTTGCCCGACCGAACACATTCACACAGATGGGGGTGGGGGTTGGAGGAGGTGGGAGAGTTGTGTTGATCAGCTTCAGGCACAGCTGTCTGGTTTCCTACAGGATGTGACCACATAACGGTCAGGCAAGATGACTGAATTCTTGGAATCATTGCTTCCTAATTGTTGCTTCCCACCACTGCCATTGAAGAAAGGCTGGGCCACAGGAGGCTGGATGAACTTTGTGTTGGCCAAGTAAGCAGAATATCTATCCAGGTGGAAAGTAAGCAGTGAAGGTATGCTCACCTGAGCGGGGAGGGGGTCACGAACCTCGCTGGCCTGCCCCAGCTCTGCCTTTGCCCCTTTGTTTGGCCCTGTGGCTACAAAGCTGCCCTACCAGGAGCAGCCCCCACTGGCAGCTCTGGCCCTTGGGGATTTGTGAGTGTTTGGTGGGGGCAGAGTGAGGAGAGGCCAATTCCACACTGTATCTAACCCTAGTGCAGCTCAGGATTTGGCTTCCCCAGCCCCTTCTTCTCAGGGTCTCAGCTCGGGCCCTCAAGGCAGCAGGAAGATGGGCTCTCCTCACCCCCTAGGTCTCCTGTCCTTCTTTACCCCCCCCACTTCGGACACAGCTTCACCTAATCCAGCCTCAAGGAGAAAAGAGGGCAAATCACTCAGAGAGGTAGGCACCTGAGCCCCCACTCTGCCCAGACAGGGCACCCTGTGCGTCTCCCACAGCTTACCACGTCTGCCTGGGACTCGATGAAAGGGCCAGAGGCCGAAGGTGACACCGGAGTCTCCGGCACGACCTTCCAGGGCCTCCAGGGAATTCCTCACGCTGTGGGGGCGAAGACTGGCTCCCCTGGGGATGTGTGTGTGCACCCCAGAGCGCCACGTAGGTCAGGGTCCTCTCCATTCAGGACACGGAGGAGAGAATGGCCTGGAGTGAGGCCCTAGGGTTGGGGACGAAAGCAGCACAGGGTATCTGAAACGGGGTGCTGGGGTACTTAGAGGGGATCGTAGGGAAGACTTCGTCTTGCATGCGCCCAGGGGAGCTGCCGTGGGGGGACAGCCTCTCCTGCCGGATGGGGCCTTCGGAGGTGGCGATCCCTGAGGGTTCCTTGCTCTAGGGTCGTCTTACAACGGCGGTGGTGGTGGGGAAGAGTGAGCAGGGCGCAGTGCGGCAGCCGTGGCACGGTGGGAGCCTCGTTTTCACCGGCTCTACCCGCAGGACCGGATCCCTGCAGCTCCCCTGCCAGCAGGGCCAGGACGTGCCTCAGGAATCTGCGTGCTCCCCAGGTCCCCGGGCATTCTGGGGCCGCTGCTTCCAGCGTCTGAGCTCCAGCACCGTGTGAGCTCCGAGAGACCAGCCCCGCGCACGACGGTCAGGGTGCACCCTCCCGCCCTGCCGACTGTCCCAGCGCCGGGGCCAGGGTGCGCAGGGCCTTGTGCACGCCCGGCTCGGACACATCATCTTTGTATTCCATCTCTTTCCGCCGCGCCGTGTCTCCGGGAAGCGTTTACCGCCCTAGTGACCCAAGAGAGGGTGAGGGAAAGGGAGCGGTTCCGGGCGGGTGTCACGCAGGCTCGGGTGAATGCGCATGCGCCCGGTAGAGGCGGCCCTGCGCGCTTGCCGTACGCGGCTTCCGGGACGCGCCCGGGGCTGCTCCGCTGTAGAAGGTATGTACTGCTCCGCGCGGGCTCGCTGAGGAGCTCGGCTTCGCGGACCGAGCGGGCGGCGACTCGGCAGAACCGCAGCGCGCTGCAGCCCTCCCCACCAGCCCGCCCTGGCCAGGTAAGCTCTAGGACCCGGGCTGCCTGACTCGCAGGTGGCAGCTTGCGGCGCCGCAGGGACCTCGAGGAGTGTGGGGCGGCGCGGAGATTGCGGCACTACGAGCGCTGCACGCTGGGCTTCGCAGGGCCGCGGGGTTGCGGGGTGGCTGTTGCTGGGATCTGGGGGTGCAGCCCGGCGGCTCCACTCCTCTCCTACGGCCTCTTCCTCCTCCCACGACCGGCAGGCGGGTGTAGCAGGGACCAGACGGCGGCTCTCGCATCCTGCGCGGGGTCACCGCAGCGACAGGCCACTTGGCGCCGGCTACAGGCGCTGCCTGACGGGGGCGAGGTTGGGGGTGGAGGGTAGTGGTGACGGAGGGAGGGCGCCTGCTCGGGTTCCACCGGGCTGGCCGGGGCGCTGGTACCTTCCGTGGCTGGAGAACCCGAGCCCGGATCTTGTCCCATTTCCTTTTCCTTTTATAGTAAGGCCCAGAGGGAAAACCTCAATTGAAAATCCTACACCGTTGCCCCTGGGCCGCAGGCGCTGGGTTGGGTGTGTGCGGCTGGGCGCGGGCTCTCTGAGGAGCTCGGCTTCGCGGACCGAGCGGGTGGCGGCGGGGTGGGGACGGCAGCTCGCTGAAGCAGCCCCGAGCCTTGGACACGTAAGCTGGGGGACCCGGGCTGCCTGACTCGCCGGCTGTGGCAGCCTGGGGCCTCCCGCGGCGCTGCAGGGACCCGGCTGCGTCGGGGCGTCCGGAGGTTTCAGTCCTAGTGCTCCCGAGCGCTGCCCTGTGGACTTGGCGGGGCTGCAGGGCGGCTGTTTCTGGGATCTGGGGGTGCAGCCCAGTGGTACCACTCCCCTCCTACTGGCCACTTCCCTTTCCCACGACCGGTGGGTGAGTGCAGCGGGTACTAGGCGGCGCTGTCGCATCCCCGGGTTGGGTGGGAGAACCTCGCTGCGAATGGCCACCCGGCGCTGGCTAGAGGCGCTGTCTGGGGGTTGGGGAGGAGGCACTCGGGTCCCGCTGCTGGGCTGGGCCAGCCGCTGGTGCGTTCCCCCGTCTCCTCTTGGCGCTGGCATCAACTCCCGGTGCCTGAGGGCAACGGGGTTGGGGTTGCCTCTGGGTTCGCTGTCCGCTGTGAACCTGAGCCCCCTTCCCTTTCCCTTTATAATAAGGCCCAGAGGGAAAAACTTGTCAGTTAAAGATCCCACACCCTGTTGCCCCTGGACTGCAGGCACAAGGTTGGGGGCACGGCGGGGACCTGCCCCTGGGCCGGGCCCCTTCCTCAAGGCAGGCACTGCCTGGCAAGGCTGCTGGTGGTAGAACTGGCCGCAGATGGTGAAGCAGGACATTGAGGACAGTTTCCCTGCCTTGGCTGTGCTGAGCCCATCCGGAGTGTTTCTGGTTCTAATCACAAGTGGAACAGTTTCAGTGCAGCTTATACGTTCATGTTAGTGATGAACTTGGGTGCTGGTGGTGACACAGCTTGTTCTCTCCTCCTAGGCTCTTAGTGCATCCAGGATCCTGAGCTGCTAGGAGTCTGGCCACTCCCGCCCGGAGCCCTGCCTTGGCTGAGCTAGTCACCGCTGCATGTCCTGGGCTGCCAGCCTGCCTGTCATCTGCAGTGCACAGGTATGCATGTGTTTGCATATGTATATGCACCACACACATACTATGCCCACCTTACACTGCACACGTACCATGCCCACCTCACACACCCTGCATACTGAACCCATATACATCAGACACACTACACACATATCTGCCTCACACACCACACACATACCATGCCCACCTCACACACACCACAGACGTACCCTATGCCCACCACACAGAACATAC